TTTGATGGTTTACCATTCAGCTTCCAACACTTCTCTTTGGTGTGCCTTGGTTTCTTGCAATAGGTACACCAAAGRGACTCCTTGTTGTCCCGTGCAGAGGACAAATCTGTCTTCATTCCTTCCAGTATTTTCGGTTGTTCTATCCTTGTAGCCATGGCTGAACCTTCTAGTACTTGGGGTTCAAGCATAACCCCCCTATGGCTTTCTTCAGCACGAATCAGAGAAATAGTCTCATTTAGAGATGGTACCTCTTCTTTGCCGAGAATCTGGACCCTAACTTGATCAAATTCTGCATTGAGTCCTGCAACAAAGTCAAACACGATCTTTTTCGATAAAACTCTTTAGGATTGCTGCATCCGCTGCACATTTAGTCTCAATGCACCGATAATGATCGAGTTCTTGCCATAGGTTCTACAGTAAATTTGCGTACTTGGTAACTGTCCTGTTGCCTTGTTTAGTCGCTCCAATCTTGACTTTAATTTCGTATACTTGTGCTACATCACGTGCCTTTGAATATGTTTGTCGGATGGCATCCCATATCTCTTTAGCCGTGGATAAAAACATACACGTGTCGCTGATTTCAGGGTTCATTGAATTCCMTAACCATGACWTGRTCATGGAGTCAGCTTCGTCCCATGCATCAAATCTTGGATCTCCTTCCTTCGATCTCGTCCCTAAGAGATGGCTAAGCTTTCCTTTTCCCTTTAAATATGTTCGAAYAAACTGAGACCACTTCAAATAATTTTTCCCGTTCAACCTATATGCTGCCTAAATGTTTTGCAGGTCGCTAGATGCTTGATGGGAGGAGACTTCTTCCGATTGTGCAGTGGTATTTGATACAGTGGCTTCTGACATATTGGGCGGGCTTCAAAAAAGAGAGAAAAACAGACAATGAAGGTCTGAAAAACTTAGTAAGGGTTGGCGATGAAGGCCTAAAGAATCTTTCAGCCAATGTCCAAAAAAAGGTAACTGTAATGCTCCACCAAACTGAAGAGTGGATCAAAACCTCTCAAAATTTCAAACTGATCCAAACCAAACCAAAGGGATTCAGTAAATATGCTCTGGGCAACACCAGATCTAAGATTTCAGACTGATCCGATGTCTCTACAAAGAGATCCAAGAAAAAGGATGAATCCGATGGCGTAGCAGCCCAGAAGAAAAAAAAATGTAGAGTTCAGATCTGTAGCCGATCTTGAAGAAGAATGGACACTCAAGAACCTCCCAAATACTGTTAGAGAGTTCTTGAACCAGCAGCAACAAAGATGACCGAAGAGATACTATGTGTAGATTAGGTCGTGACTAGCTCTGATACCATGAGAGAATTTGAGAGAAAAAATGAATTGATTGTATTGTCTTGGAAGGAGCATATACACAGCTTTATATAGAATTACAGAGCTAGCTTACAGGGCGATAAAATAGGAAACTAACTTTTCCTAGAAAACTAATTTCTATATCAGTGGGATTCTCCAATTAATATCCCATGATTCTAGGATATCCCATAATTCTAGGATATTCCATGATTCTAGGAAACTAACTTATGTATGTTTCCTAAACCGATGGACCTAAAATTATGGAGAATCAATCTTCTACTTTCCAACAGCCTTCTTATTTTTGAAAAAGTTATGCCCTGAAGGCTGAACATGTTTTCAATCTGATGTTATTCAGGCAGTTAAACTGATGAACCCAATGATCTGACAGCAGTGTTTTCAACCCATTGTTCAATGTTGACCCAGATCATCACCTGCGCTAAGATTGTTTAGTCTAAATCCCAAACCAAGGTTCAAGGTATTGCTGAACAAAATCCACCATAAAAGGTGTAGAAAAAAGGAGTTCATAATTGGAAGAGAACAAAGATAAGGAAAACAATATAAATGATAGCTTAAGTGTGATATTTATTTTGAAGGTAAAAATACTAAAATTGCAATAATCTATAAGGGAAATAATGTGGTATCTAACATACTATTTTCCTAAAGGTAAAATATTAAAAATCAATTATTACAATACTAAATTGGATGGACAAAATTGTCCTTGAGAAATCATGATGCAACTAATTGCCTCTTGTTATGTAAGGTAACTAGCAAATTCTAAGACACGACATGGAAAATTGATGATCTTTCTGAATTGGACAATACAACAAGAACCCTAAAATATGGCTACACAAAATCAATAAACAGAAAAGGAAAATAAAGAGTAAGCTAAAAAGAATTGAGATGCTGTATAATTTTTGTATAATACTATACAATGAAAGCATAAAAAGGGATGCAAGATAGAAGCCTTCTGTTGAATTTCTTATATTCACATTTCTAAACTCCAAAATACAATTTTTTTTCCTACACACATAAATACAAATATCACAAAATTACTAAGGCTGGTTCAACCAAGCTGACATAACCTCTCAATTTCCTTCATTACAGCACAACCACTTCAGCCATAAATTCAACCAGTCTTGTTGGGCAAAATCAATTTAGCAATGAAACTTTAAATCAGAATGAGAGCTTAAAATCAATTACTAGATAAAATAGATTAAAAAATTCATTAACAATCAAACATTATTAAATGCCCTCTTGGTTCCACCTCATCCTAAGAACATGAATTCAAATAGCAGGAGTTCTACATCAACTAGAATAAAATATTACTCAGGAGATAAGATAGTGACAAAACCATGCTCAACTTTTAGCTTAAATCCTATAGTGACCTTAAATGGCTAAGGGAAACACAATCTAGTACACTGAGTAGGTCTCACCAGTAGGCCAGATGGTCCTGAAGATAGCACTGGCAATTGGAAGAATACCCACAAGTGCAATCTGAAGCTGCTCCGTACAGCTTGTCCTAACTGTGATTTGTCCACTGAGCTTGTTGTTCAATCCCATACGAACAGCCATCTTCGAATTCCGACCAAGGGAGAACTGAGACTGCAGATTAGCGCCCAGAGCCAGGTCACCTCTCCATCTCATCAGAGACAGGCTCAAAGTGGATTGGTCTTGACCAATTGGATAATCCTTCTCCTTCAGTCTGGCCTCCAAGTTGGCCCCGTATGCTATATCACCCTGAGATTGAACTGCACCAGTGCTCCCCACCAAAACTAAGCGTTTTCCAATTGCAATCTGATCCTCAATTTTGAGTCCAGTGGCTACATTCTCTCCTAAGAAAGTAATGGATAATCCAGCAGCTGTCTTGTTCTTTTTCACATTCTTGAATTTTGTTTCACCTATGAGGATGTATCCAAGCTGCCTTCCAATGTTCTGAATGTCAAAGCCTGCTAGGGTTGATCCATTGTCTCCGTGCTTGGCTGAAACTGAGGAATTCAAATGGATGTTGAACTCCTTCTTATCTTCGGTAATTTGAACAGCAACTCCTGCTGGAAACTGACCTGCAATTGCAAGATTATGTTCAAGGCTGACACCATCATACCCACAATCATGATCCCACCCATGTGTGTCAAGGACTGGCCTTGCCAGGAGCTGTGATGTCGGCTCCAAGAATCGGTACCTGTAAGCTGGATTATCTCCATCAAAGGAAGGTGGCAGGACCATGTCAGGTAACGGAACTGGCACAGCCGCAGGACTTCCATTTTCTTCCTGATCCACATCTTCCCCCATATAACCATAGTCAATCCCATCAGCTTTTCCTTTCTTCTTTATTTCCCTCAATCTTCTTACTTCCTCTCTCCACTGTTTCTTCTGAAGGAGCTTCATCCGATAATCATACTCATCAAAATATGCCTTCCTCTGCTCCTTGCTGAGCTCAGCAACCTGAGCTTTCTTCAGGGGTTTAAACGGTGGGAGCTGGTCATATTCATCCTCTTCTTCTTGATCAGAATCAGAGAAGTCCAGGTCAACATCAGAGTCACCATTCTCATCACCCTGATCGGCAGATAGTTTTGGGTGGGAACGGGACTGCAGCAGTGAAGACAACAGGTATGGTAGAGGTGGTGAGCGAACACGGAGTCCAAATAGCTTCCTGTGGTCAAATGGGTCTTGAGGTTTTGACAAGGAACTAACTTCAGATAAGATCTTCATTGAGTAGCACAAAAGCAATAACTGGGATCTCCAATTTTGGCCGTTAGGGAGAATTTTTTGGCCTTCTCTGTTCTTCCTGCATGAAGGATGGTTTTCAACGAGAGACACAGGGTTCATCAAACTTGGATTCATCAGGCGCAAATCACCTACTGCTTGTCCAATGCACTGCTGTACAACATGGGAACGTTGAGCAACAAAAACCTCATAGCTTAAGGGGGACCCAGATGGTCCATCTGGAGGTGCTGTAGCAGCATGGGTGAGAGTGACAATAGCACTCTGCCATAGTGATGAACCAAGAACACTGGTGATTGACCTTAACAATGGCAGATCGTTAAGATCTCTGGTCTGGGCATCTAGCCGGTCTATATAGAGGACAATATCCGGTGGGCTTTTCTTAATGAACTTCTTTATAGATGATAAGACTTTCCGGTTAAAGGATTGTTCCATCACAGAAGATCTGAGACCCGGTGTGTCAAAGACCCGGATCTTAACTCCATCTACTGATCCAACGATCTCTTTCACAGAAGTTGTAGTATATTCAAATGCATCAACAACTGACTTCTGTTCACCAAAAATGGAATTAATGGTTGCACTCTTGCCCACTCCAGTTTTCCCTAGTACAAGGATGTTCAAAGAGAAGTTGAGATCATCTTTACCCTCTGCCTCCAGCTGCATTGCTGTCCTCTTGGCAATTTCCAGGTTAAACACTTGACTGGTTTGCCTCCCTGCAGCTATAACCATCCTGTATAAAACCTGTGCCACAATAGAGTCTTCAGGAGAATGGCCCAGTCTCTGGACAAGCCTCAAGAATTTCACTCTTGTGAATTGTATCTTCTCCAGCTTATTCTTTTGTTCTTCACTCAAATTGTCTTCTGATTCCCCCCCAGCTGTGAGAACTGGAGGAATAAAAAAGTTGGGACGATTTGGTCGGGGTGCAGGCTTCACAGTCTGCATAGAGGATCCCAAACCAGCAGGTCGCTCAATAGAGAAAAGCCTGGAACCATCTGGAGAGGTAATTGTAACACTGCCAGTGTCTGATCCTGCATTAGATGCTGCTTTTAGGAGAGCAGTCAATGCAGCAGAATCAAATAACTCTTTCCCATCTCCCTCATCATCAGTGTCCACTTCATCATCTGAGTCTGTAGCAATCTGTCCCTCAATTCTCTGAGGATGATCAAGATAACTTTGAGCACCCGAGTGAGAACTAGTGCCTGATCCTTGCTCCAACTCCTTCATCATCTGTTTGGCAGCTTCAGAGATTCCAAAGATCATACCTTCAGCATCTTCATCCGAAACTGGACCTTCATTGTCACTACCATCATCATTGTCATCATAATCTTCTTCTTCTGGACCAGGGTTTAGTATAGCTTCAGTTTCCAGCTTCACTTCTGAGTCTAAGATGGAAACTGGTACCATGGATTGAGGTGTTTCAGATTTTCTAGAGGCCCTGTCTTCCAATTGATCACTCTGGGCAGATCCAGCGACTGATGCATCACCATTCTCCAAATACTTCTCCTTGACAACAGGTTCCATGGAACTAACGTTAGAGTCCACACTCTGAATCTTATTTCCACCTGATTCTGAATCAACTTCATTGACAGATAACAGTGTGGTCTGTTGCTCAGTTTCAAGTTCAGGTTTTCCAACCTTACCAACTTCATTTATAGAAACACTTGGATCAACAACACCATCCTTTTTGCCCTTTTGGTTTTGGTCATTTGCAGAAACATTCATTACAAAATCAACAAAGCCAGATCCAGTGTCCAAACCATCAATTTCCACCACTTCTACCATATCAGTTTTTGGTCCAAGTGGCCCCAGTTCTATGGCCTCATGCACAGGGTTTATTGCAGTTTCATGTTCAAGAGCACCATAATCCTCTATCTTTGTAACATCAGTATCTGCTTCCATCAACTTGGAAACAACAGGATGTTCAACAGCAGGGTTTGGTTGATCAGACCAAGTACCCAAGATCAAACTTGTCTCTCCCGATTGCTCCACTCCTTGAGTTTCAGAAACTCCATTTTCTTGCTTATGGACCTTATCTCCAACACCAGATCCCAAACCCAATAAAATGGCCTGTCTGGTTTCATCAACTGAATCCCCTCCGGTCACAGAACTCATATTATCCGCCTCAACGAAATTTGAACTTACCAATTCTTCAACAACAGGTACTGAAGAATTCACTTTGACGGTATAATTCTCTTCCAAAACCTTATCCTCCGATTCAGTCCCATCTACTTCCTGCATTCCCGGTGCATAGCTTTCTTGAACTGCAGGCTTTATATCCTCGTCCAAATACACACCTTCAGACAAGGTCTCTTCTTCATTGCTCCCGTCTTCCTCAACAGTCTCAGAATCCTTGCCAGCAACCACAAGTGGCTCAGGAACCCCGTACCCATTCAGTCCCGATCGAAGAGAACCCGAATTCAATACTTCAACAGAAGCAAAATCCCTGCCCAAGGAAAGCTCATCCACGCCACCAGACTCCTCCAATCCAGCGACGGAAGGAAAACCAACAAGGCCCAAAATCCTTTGATCCTCCACTTCACTCACAAGCTCCTCATCCTCGGCAGTAACATCACCATCGTCCCTCGGTTGCTGCTTAATTGGAACCGCAGTCTTCGGAAGAGGGAAAATCGAAGAACCCAAAACAGGTTGAACGAAAGGAACGCTAGAGTGTTCCCCCTCCGTAGCTGTTTCCAGACCTTCTTCTGGTTCTGCAACAAGGTGCCTCTCGGAAGCGGTTTCGAACTCGTCCTCACCGCTCATGAAGCCCTCGGACTTATAACTATAGTCGCTGCTGCGACTGCTGAAGCTACTCCTATTGCGTTGCTTATCACCAACGTTTTCTATAGAGGTTTCGATATCAAAATCAGGAGGAGGAGCTCCGATACCTGGTGACCCGGATGGTGGTTGTTGCGGTTGGGACTCCTCCGCTGGTGATGGGGTCGACTGTGTTGCGTAAAGCGGAACAGACGGCTGTGAATCCATGGACGTAAGCTTTTGTTTCCTACTAAAACACGCAGATGCCGAAGCAGAGGTTACACAGCAAAGAGCGGAGTGCTGGGAATGATAAAAGATTGGCGTTGTCTACTTGTCTTATTGATTTTTCATTACTTTCGATTCTCTTCCTCTCCAACAAATTCTCCCCGTCTCCTCGGTTGCAGTTAGGATTACAAAGATAGGATCTTTGATATGAGGTTGCACGGAGAGCCTCGAGCTCGAGGAAGGTGAGATAAGGTGGAAGATTTCTCGCAGGAGTTTCTCTTTTATATTTATTATTTTTTTGGTAAGATCCCTTTTATATTTGTTTATTATGGCGACATAATTACCCCTGCACAAGATGTTTTTTCCCTTTGTAGATTCTTCTGGTTCTGGCCTCCAGGGCGGTCGCCGCGGTCCAGAAACAAGTTTGGACTTGGGACGTACATAATCGATGGTGTTAAAGGTGTTTGCCGCATCACCGTTACAAAGTGAGGCAATTCTCGGTCATTTCTTGTCAATTTATTTTCGTCATCATTTGGAAAGAGAAATAGTTTTGGCAGACTCAGATTGGATTGAACAATCAAAATGGTGAACGGTCAATATAGATGTAGAAGAGAGATAATTTTGAACCATATGGATTGAACAATCAAGCTGGGTTACTCATCCCAGTTTTTTTTTTTTTGACAGAAAAAGAAAGATTCTGATGTTCTTCACATAATCTTTCTATGTGCTGATCTTTGTTTTTGTGTATTAAACTTGGAGATGATTTAATTGTTGTTTTAAAATCTTCTTATTTGGCCAATACCATAACATGAGCACCATGAGCACCGGTAGTTAGTATAAGGTGAGGTTGCTGAATAGGTTTTTATTCTCTAACATTATGCCTAGTTAGTTTTTTTTATCCTTACTGGTTCTTTTGTTGGTGTCTTTGTTAATTTATTCTTTCTGTGAGGGCAGATGATTTAAAAAGTGGACCATGGAAATGGAGTGGTTGCTTACAGAACCTTCTATTACTACTATGTTTTCTGTTTTAATGATTTTTTTTTCAATTTTTTGTAGGTTATTATGAAATTGTTGGGGAATTAATTACAAAAATAAAAAAAGTGAATACATTGGAAGCCTTGTGGCTAGTAGCTAGAAGCTTGTGAGTCACATCTATCTATATCTATAAAAGGGATACTTGCCTTGGTGTCCATGCATGTTTTCTAGCATCATCTATCCTATATACATTGGAAGCCTTGTGGCTAGTAGAAGCTTGGGAGTCATATTTATCTATATCTATACTATGTAAAAGGGATACTTGCCTTGGTGTCCATGCGTGTTTATTGGCACAATTTATCATATATAAAACATATACTTGCCTTGGGTTTGGTATAAGCCATAAAAGTTAAATCTAAATACCATATATTATATATGATTAATATTTGTAGATATACATAGCACGTGTTCTCACATTAATATTATGTAAGTGTTTTCATTTTTTCACTCTTTCATTTTTGCTTTCACATGTTATAGCCTATTTCCCCCATATACCATAAAAGTTAAATCACGTATTCACTTGCACCATATTGTATTAGCAAGTAAACCCATTTAATGCATGAGGTTAGATAGAAATTTGGTTAGATTTTGGTGGCATTTGATAAACTTAAACTTTGATGTCTAAAAGGTGGAAAATCTATTATTTGGATTTGAAATTTGGAAAAGAAATAGAAATGATTTTTTTTTTTTTTTTTGCTTTTTAAAGGCTTTGAAAAGATAAGATTGTTAGGGTTGGAGCAATTCTCCAATGTCTGAAACTATCAAGTTTACTATTTTACCCTTAAAAATAGATTGTTTGATAATATTATAGATGTTAAAAATAGACATAATTTCAAACACCTCTTACCTTTGAGCAATAAGTTTTATATACTTTAGACATTTGAAAAGTGTTATCAAATACCATCTTATAAGACTGCAAAACAAGTTTGCTTAATTTGAAAACTTTTCAAATATATTAGACTTGGATTAGGGTTCAGGCTCATGGGTATTAATTCCCAATACAAACCAACCCAAGTCGGGAACATCGGTTGGCAAATTTGGGTATTAACATCATTTTAAGTTCAGGATAGGATCCTTATCTTGGGTTGGTTTTCATAATTTGGCCCATAACACAATCTATTATATGTGTATCCTAAGATAGACTTAAATTTTATTTCTAATAATTTAATTCAAAAATAAATAACCATATGTGTGAAAAACGAGGAGAGGATTTCTGTGTAAGCTTTGTGGTGAGAGGACCCCTCACCTCCCTTCTTTGGATATGGATAGAGTTTTTATTTTTATTCTTTCATCTTTTACTTCTATACGTGCATGGGAAAGTTCTTGATTAGTATCTTGTAGGACCTAGTGTCACTTTGGTCTCCTGAACTTTAAAACACGATAATTCAATACTCAAACTTTCAAAATATGCCAATTTAGTACATACCGTTAATTAGCCGTTAAGTGGCATTTGAAAAAACACAAATACCCTTTGACTATCATCTAATTTTCTTTATCAACCATCTAGACGTTGACAAAAAATGAGCAGTCCCAAATCATTGTCTCTTCTATTCAAAAATGTTGGGGTCATGTCTTAGTGGGCATTCTAGTGACCCCAACTTTCTTGAATAGAAGAGGCAAAGATTTGGGACTGCTCATTTTTTGTCAACATCTGGATGGTTAATAAAGAAAAGTAGATGATAGCCAAAGGGTATTTGTGTTTTTTCAAATGCCACTTAAACGGCTAATTAACGGTATGTACTAAATTGGCATATTTTGAAAGCTTGAGCATTGAATTATCGTGTTTTAAAGTTCAGGAGACCAAAGTGACACTAGGCCCAAAGTACAAGATACTAATCAAGAGCTTTCCCATGCACGTATAGAAGTAAAAGATGAAAGAATAAAAATAAAAACTCTATCACTTAACATCTGGGTTGATAGAGACAAAGATTTGGGACTGCTCGTTTTTTGTCAACATCTGGATGGTTGATAAAAAAAATTAGATAGCATTCAAAAGGTATTTGTGTCTTTTCCAATATCACTTAACAGTTGATTAACGGTAGATATTAAATTAACACGTTTTGAAAGTTTGGATACTGAATTGTCGCATTTTAAAGTTCATAGACGAAAATAACACTAGGCCTAAATAAATTAAAAAAAAAGAAAAGAAAAACTAAAATGGCCAAAACAAAAAAAATCTCCTAAACTGGCTTATATTTGAAATCAACTATTGCTATATGAATAGCCAAAACAATACCTGCCTCAGTATTCTTTGAAATTAGGGGCGTCATGTGACTTTTGCTTTCTCTGAAATGCTGTAATGTAATGACTAAAGACGTACCAAAATTGTTAAAAGATGGACGGCAAAACTCTCTGATATAGATTCCACTGAAGCAAGCATGAATACATGAACTATTGAATTTCTCAACTAATTAAAACCACAAATACAACACTCAATGACCTCGTTGAAATAGTCAAATAACACAGTGACTTGACTTTCATACAAATTATTAATTAATGGTGAAAGTGAAACAAAGCAAGTGTAATCGTGGGTGCTCAGATTGGTATGGGATCAATGAGCAAAAGCACGATGTGAGCTTTCAACACATGGGCGTTGGTGTAGCCATCTTCACGCTTGTAGGCGACATCGAACACGCGTGCAAGGTTCACAGCTCGCATTAGCGGAGGCATTGCTGCGGCAGTTGGTCTGACGCACTGTTCGTTTATATCCTTCCATGTATTATTGATCAGCTTGCGTATCTCAGTGATTGCTTCTTCCCTTGACACACCATTTTCATTCATATAGCATTCAATAGCAGAACTGACATGTCCTCTCTCTTGCTCAAACTTCAAACATAAGAATCACAACGCATGGTTAATTAGCAAACATATTTGTATTTGTAGACAAGAGCTCAATTCACTTAAAATGTACATCTACACCAGATTTATAGATAGGGGTGTTAATTGGATTGAATTTGGTCCAATCCGATCCAGTCCAACGGGAGTACATTACAAATGGATCGGGTCTGTCCCAATTCAATGAATATTTTGGATCATTTTGTATTAGTCAAATTTAATGTTTGCACTGTTCGATCTGTTCAAATTTATTTTAATTTGGATTAATTCTAATCCAAACCTGGTCCATTGACACCTATATTCTTTGTCTACTATTAATGGACCAAATGGTGGCTAAATCCAATCTAATCCAATATAAATTCATTATAGATAGACCAGGTCCAATCCAATCCAATAAATACTTTGGACTATTAAGTCTAGACCGATCCAATTCAATATGACTTGTTGGTTCGTCCAATCAATCCAAATTGATTTTGGTTTGGACGGGGTCCAATCCAAAACCGTTGCATTGACACCCCTAGCTATAGATGCATACTAACTACTAAGGCTCAGTTTGGAAAGAGTACAAATACAAATATGTACAATACAAATTATAAGATTTTACGTTCTACATATTTGTACTTGTATTCCTTTCAAATGAAGCCTAAGGCTGTATTTGTTTGGAATACAAATTTATTTGCACTAGTACAAATGCATGTAAGTACAAATATAAAAAATGAAAATTCTTGTTTAATTTTGTTTCGGATTTTACTTTATTCTGCTTTATGTCTTAATTTATTTTATTTATACTGCAATAAAATAAAATAAGCTAAAATTTGAAACAAAATTAAGTTAAAATTTACATTAAAATCATTTGCACTGTTATGATTTTGCAGCAATGCAAATTTATTTGCATTGCAACCAAATACAGCCGAAGTATTTCAACCAAGGTGCAAAATTTTAACACAATACATCTTTTGTATGGGACGTATCGTATATTTTATCGTGGCTGTAGATACACTTTTTTATAAGGTTTTTCCCCAAAAGTTTGATTTTTAAATGTTAAACAGCCTTTAAACTGATCCCTTGATATATTCTGGAAAAAAAAAAGAATTAAATATATATGTATCGATACACAAATTAATAGTACCTCGTTAGACACGATATCATCCATGAGACGACCAATCAAACATGCACTCCGAACAATTTTAGGTGTTTTTGACACCCAATCAAAGACCTCCTTTGTTGCAATTTCTCCCATACCCACAAAGGATGTAAGTAGTATCATGGCGTAACCACAGCTAACCAAGGCATTCTCCAGAGACTCCTTAAATGTAGGAATGTGGCCTTCAGAGAACCATTTGGCTTCAGTGAAGTAGGTTCTAATCAATACTTTCATCTGGAGCACAATCAAAAATTAAAGTCAGATACCTTTGCTTAACTAAGGTAGATCTCAAGATGGAACAAACCAGAAAGGAGAGGCAGAGCCATGTATATATAACGTACTTCTTCTTTTGCATAAGAGACACAATAAGATCTTCCTTCATTCCTCATCTCTTCTTCAATTTCATTGTATATATCTAAGAGTGCAAGATATATCGCTTTCATGTATTCTGGCAGCTTATCAGTTTCATCGACATCCCACCTGAATTCATGAACTGTATTGAGTGAGAAGAGCAGTGAAGAACAATATAGACACATCCCGCCTGTTGAAATTGAACCCAGACTTGTTAAAATTCTGAGCAATTACAGGAGATAATCAAGATGTTTTGGTTTCAAACCTTTCAATTGCATCAGTAAACAGTTGGAGCTCTTCAAATGTACCATATGCATCATAAGTATCGTCTAAAATTGAAGTCATGGCTGTTACTTTGGTGAGGATGGTTCGTCCAAAGGAGTATTGGGGTTCAGGATAAACTCCCATTATACAAAAATAGCACTCCACCACTCTGTTTCTTGCATAAGGTATCTTTGATGCCAAGTCTAGATCCTTCCACCACCTGTAATTGTATACATAGATTACATATACATGGTTAAGGTAATCACCAAACTTCAGAGATATGGGTGTCAATGGATCGGTTTTGGGTTGGACCTCGTCCAAATCAAAATCAATTTTGACAGATTGGACAGACACGGACCAATAAAATATATTGAATTGGACCAGCCAGACTTAATGATCCTGAGTATTTATTGGATTGAATTGGATCTGGTCCATTATAATATATTTATATTGGATAGAGTCAGATTGAACCAATATTCAGTCCATTGATAGAAGATAAAAATTTAGGTGTCAACGATAGACTAGGTTTGGATTGGAACTTTTCTAACTTAAAACCAGTATGAACAGATTGGATGATCCAATCATTAAATTGGACATGTCCAAAATGACCAGAAGTATTCATCAGATTAGATTGGATCTGATCCACTTGTAATGGATTCATATTGGACCAGATCAGATTGGACCAAATCTGGTCCAACTGACACCCCTACTGGAGGAGGGGACAGTTGAAGAAACTTACCTTGATATTTCACCTAGCTCCTCGAGATGCAATGACTGTAATCTGTTGAAATCTAGCTTTGCAAGCTTAAGCAAAACCTCATTTCGTGATGGGTCTTTCTCATAGAAGGAGATATAATGCCGTGCCTCTAGTTTAGTCATACCCCTGTGGAGAGACTGCTCTAGGGCATGAATCACTTGTTCTACAAGAGGGGAACTTGAATTGGTAGCCACAGACTTGAGGTGGGCAGTAGTAAAAGAAAGGGCTTCATCTAAAATTTCTTCTCCACGTATCCCAAGATGTGCAGCTTCATACAAACTCAGCATTCCTCGTGTGTCTCTGGTTAAGCCATTTCTGAATTTTCCATGTTCATCTCTGAATTTATTCAATACATCTGATTGACCAGCAGAAAATTAGTAATTGATGGACAATAACATAATCAAATAAGTCGAGATCAAATCAGCCCCCACGAGATTACCCCCACGGCATCCTACAGCACATTCCCGCTGTGTATTGAGAATAACTTCCGATGGTAATATCAGAAATGATGATGCCATCATCGGGAGATGTTTCTAATACACAGTGGGGATGTGTTGTGGGATGTTGTTAGATTTTTTACGGCTCATCCCAGCCTTAATATATATTACCAGGTAGGGGTGTCAATTGGGCTGGATTTGGTCTAATCCAATCCAGTCCAATGTGTGTCCATTATAAATGGACCCGGTCCAATTCAATCTAATGAATGTTTTGGACCAATTTGGACTGGTCTAATTCAATATCTGGACCATCCAATCTGTTCTAATTCATTTTAATTTAGATTGGTTTCAACTTTCAACCCAAACTCCGTCCATTGACACATGTGTTCTTATCTTATATCAATGGACCAGATATTGGCTTAATCCAACACAATCCAATATAAATTTGTTACAGACAGACCAGGTCCAATCCAATCTAATAAATATTTTGGATTGGATTGATCCAATCCAATATGTCTTGTTGGTCCGTCCAATCTGTCCCAATTGATTTTGGACTGGACGGGATCCAATCCAAAACTGGTCCATTGACACCCTTATTACCAGGTCCATGGTTTGGGCTAGGATGGGCCCGAGAGGCCCAAAATGATTTTACTACCCTGTAAAAACTCGTCCCAGTCCATAATCATCTGTAGTCTATGTCACGTCACCAAGACAAGTTAGAGAAAAAGAAAAGATGAAAAATATTAATAGAATAGAAAAATAAAAAAATGATAAATGCATAAAAATATTTAATATTTATATAACAATACCCTATATGCTTTTAATAAAAAACCCTGTGAGCTTATGGCTTGTTAACCTGTGATGGGTAGACAATTATAAACTTGATTCTAGGGTGAAAAGTGAAGACGGAACGAATCCAATTCGAATATGAACCAAATATAAAAGTGCAAAATGGTATCCGTTTCAAAATCAGATTGAAATAGATCATTAGATAGACAGATAGATAAATAGAATCCTTATTGGATATTCGATAAATTGAGTAAATATGCATTTACCCAATTTTCTAGGAAATAAAATAAACATGAGTAAATATGCATTTATCCAATTTTCTAGGAAATAAAAAAACATGAATAAATATGCATTTACCCAATTTATCAAATATATATATATATACACACTTACCTACCTAGATAAGTGTTTCTTAAGAAATACTTATCCAAACAAGCAACTTACTAAAATGCGAATAGAACCTTAAGACTAGGAAGTCCGGATATCACATATGACCCCATTAATGACAAATTACAAGTATGAAAAATGTTTGAGATGCGCAGCTGTAACATCTTGTAGGTAACATATTCAATCACTAGAGCTGGAGGCTGCAACTTGGTTGGATTGGATTGTGAAAACTTGTTAAACCTTGAACGGACCAAGCCCAAATAGGGATAGAAGTTTTACCCACAAAAACCAGGTCCCTAATCCAACCTGACCCGAACGGGGCAGATTTTCCCCGATCAAAATTGGAGCGGGTCAGGTTTGGGGCTTTTTCTTAATTTTATCCCAAACCGGGGACCGGGCGAGGATGGGTTCTGCATATAAATCCCCGAACCCAGTTGTAAATTACACGTGTGTGTGTTTGTAAGTTACTGAATTAGGCTTTATTTTCTTCTCAGTTCGGCAGACCACAGACTACAGTGGTCTGCCATAGCAACAATGAGACACTAATACCATCGTCCTCTCTGTTTCTCCCTCTACTCGGCCACTACATAGCCACTACAGAATCGTCTTTTGTAGTGGTATGATTATTACAAAATCATTTTATCGTTTACAAATTTTGAAATCAATTTATTTGGTGCCGCAGATAATAATATTGATTTCCGATTAGTGATTTCCTGCTTGTTATTGCATGATTTTAAATCCCTTGTGCCATTTTCATCTAAAGACATGGCTCGTTTAAAGCATTCCATGAATCCAACAATGACCATAACATAAAAGTTTGAATGAAATTATGAAAGATTGAAAATAGGTTCAACAAAATAAAATAAAAATTTGATACGAGAAAACAATATTTAGTGTTTATAGGTAAACCAATCTTTAGTGTTTAGAAAACAATCTACTGATGTCATCTTATAGATTGAGAACAGCCTCAAACCAACCTTAGTTAAATGARAAAAAAAAAAAAAAAAAAAAAAAAACAGAAAGAGAGTATAATAGATTTTGAAGTAACAGTCAACAGGGTGGGTATATCGGGGATTATATGTTTCCAAGTTCAATGGTAATAGGGTGGATACATGTCGGAAATTCCCCATATCTGACAGGGCCGAGGATGGGAGTTAAATCTAAATGGGGCGGAGACGGGTTAGAGGATTTTAACCACGGGGCAGCGATGAGAAGGGATGCCCCGCCCTGTTGCCATTCCTAACCCAATTGCAAGCATGCTGTGGAAGAAAATCAGGCAACTTTTACATAGTTACTCCTTAGAAAATGATTAGCCAAATTGTCAAAATGCATGAGCTTCATGCGTTTATTCATTCTCAAACAATAAAGTTCAAATGAATTAAACCCATAACAATAAAGTTCAAATGAATCAAATCACATGCATATTAATTTAAACTAAGACTTGTTTTCTGCAATGGACAATTTTGCATGTTCATTCGTTTTGACTCCACATAAGCGCCATGGATGATTTGACGTCAAATGTAATTGATTGGGTATTATTTAACTTCTGATGGTCACACCATGGTGCTGAGTGAATGATGTTTAATATTGTTTATTGTATTTGAAAGGTATTTCCACCTCAATTTTCCATTCATAAACGTCTGAAATTATAATAAACTATTGCACAAATGAATTCACTTTACTTTTTCGATTTCCAATGTCATAATTTAAATAAAAATGATATAATTTATAAATAAAATTAATCAATAATATTATGGATAATTATGGGCTTTAATTGTGGGTTTTACAGATATTAATTGATTGGATCAATTCTGTTTTTATGCATGTGATGTATGGATGTGTGATGTGCAACGTTCATGGGCCATAAGCACTTGGCCCATGCTGATACGATAGTGGCTCTTGCGCATACCATGGCTGAATGCACATCATTNGATACGATAGTGGCTCTTGCGCATACCATGGCTGAATGCACATCATTGTCATGGTGTCCATAAGATCATTGGATGATCTCTCTTYRTGGTGGGCCCCACACCTCCCCAAGAARAACCGTGYGGAACCCTATCYGTTTAGGGTCCACCTAAATCTGGCTTTATGAAAGCCAGTGGGAGCCACTTTGGTTTGACCTAAATTAAACTAGGGCGTAATATTTCGTTCCCTCCGTTGAAATATGAGTGTAGGTGATAGGGAGATTCATATGATGAACTCTCTAAACGCCTTCCATCAATAGCATGAAGATGGGTCCTTCGGTTATGGGGAAACGCACCATAAAATTGGGCTATCCATTTGCTGTTGAATCTGTTGAAATGTTTCATAAGATGATAGGGGTGTCATAGACCGATGTGGGAGGGGCCTATCCTAAAATGGAAGACTCTCTCACGGTACCTTGGCATTCACGAATATGATGGATGAGCACTCACTAGACAGAAATGTTTAACCTAAAATGGCATTGAACCTTGTTTGACAAAGGCCAAAGGGAAAGTTCATAAGATGAGTGGGTATTGATCCTTCACAAAAAGGTGGTGGGGTTATGCAGTTGAAACAGTTGGCTCCATGCACCCTATGCGATTTCCCACATTTCCAGAGACATAATTCGCAGTCTCCATCACTGAGATAGGAGGAAAATCTCAGAGATGAACAAATGGGAATGGAACATAGATTAAAAGCCATATCTATGTACATAACACGAATCAAATAAGGTTGTGGACTAATATTTGCTTTTTATCAGAAATGGCAAACGGACAATTCGCAAAATTGTTGGATGACAACAAACTTAAGGACCCTAACTACGCTGACTGGTACCAAAACCATATGCTGGTCCAGACATCAGAAAAGTTGGACAAAGTAGCTAAAAATCCTGCTCCGGAACGCTGGGTGATAGGGCTTCTGAGGCCCGTAGGAGGGATTACCAAGAATGGGAAGAGAAAAATTCCCTTGCCCGCTGCTACATCATAGCATCCTTAGACAATCCGATACAATGACAGTTCGATGAACAGTTTGATGATGATATATGAGGAGCAGAATCGTTCTATTCGTCAAAAGGTCTTGAAATAGTTCATGACCGCACAGATGTCCAAGAACCAGCAGGTTCATGGCCATTGTCTTAAGATGATGGGATATATCAATGAACTTGAGGCTCTTGGATCCGGGCTTGACCATGTCACTAAGGTGGATACCATCCTAAATTCTTTGCCTCCTTTCTTCAATCAGTTCATCATGAACTATAACATGAACAAGCTAAATGTTAGCATCCAGAAACTCAACAATATGTTGCAAAGGGCCGAGGAACTGATCAATAGGATGAGCCCATTGCCATGCTTGTTGAATTTGGCAAATCAGGCAAGAAGAAGAGGAAGGCTAAGAAAAAGCCTCAGAAGAAAGCTACTAAGTCCAAGAGGCAGAGGAAAGACCAAGCATTAGATGCTTGAAGATTTAGGGTTGTCCGGCACATGTTAAAAGAATGAGTGCGGACAAATTGGAATCCAAGACCAGTCGTTGCCTATTCATTAGCTACCCCAAAGGCTCTATGGGTTACCTATTCTATGACCCAGGAGAACAGAAAGTGTTATGTAGTCGAAATGCCCATTTCTTGAAAAATGATTACATCCTGAACAATCATCGTCAAAAGTTGATCTTGATGAGGTGAGCTTAGAGGTAGTGACAGATGTCCCACAAACTCCAGGTAATGACCAACCCAGAAGATCTACCCAGATTTCTAGGCCTCCAGTTCGTTTCGGCTATGACT